GCCAAAAATTTTGAAAAAATTCTAATTGGCGAAGGTCGCTGTTTACAGCTTCTTTGTCGGAGCTTGTAATGAAAATTTAAAAAATGTAGATCTGTGTCAATTATACGCATGCTGAAAATTGCGAGCCGCAAACGGTTAGAAATCGTGAAAATCGCACTATTTCACCACTTTCCGCCTATAACTACAACAAATCTGAAGATTCTTACAGTGCCTGTCGCTTGTTTCTCCATCAACCAAATGCAACGAAACCTTCAGAATCCATATGTTTAACATAAATCTACAAAACGTACGTGTGAAATTCTCATTACAAAATACTCAGACGAAAAACTTGTAAACAGTGACCTTTACAGTTTCCTTCGCGATTCCCACAAATTGCAATTTTTCCAAAATCCTTCTAACTTCTCGAAAAAACTCAAGTCCTTATGTGCAACTTTAAGAAAATTCTCCCGTTTCAAAGACTGTGAGAAGACTTTTTCGACTGAGTGTATGTGTCCCCGAAGAGTTTGAAAAAACTAATACAGCAGTGCACAAACGGTATTGCTGAAAAGAAGCGACAACGTTCCCCTAATTTCGTGACTGAAAGTGGCCTACCCCCGTGGTAGACCGCGTACGATAAGCTGCAACAACGTGGATTACCATCGCTATCGGTCTTTAACACTACATTTTAAAGACCAGCAGAACGGATTAACGTGCAACGCGGTATGTTAGTGATCGATGAACGAATTGTCCAAGGGTAGGCGAGTTAGCCGTATGACGAATCGGTCGACACGCGACGTCGCCGTACGCCGTCGCTCCCACTGTCGGTGTCCGTCCAATACCGAAGTGAAAAGTATCGCTAGTCACCAGCCTCTTGAAGCGAGTGGTGACGCCCCGCGCCGGGTCAGCCTCTCTCGGCTACGCGCCACCAACTTAAGTATTGTAGTTATGTTTACGCTGTGCTCGCGATTGAATGCCTATCTTACGTATCTCACGATGCCGCCGCCGTCGATCGTCTTACAACTCCTCTAAATCGGCGCAATGTGTTCGGTGAATAGAAATCGTCGGAGATATATACGATTACCGATCGAGTGTGTGTTTTCCACTTAACGATAAACTTACATCGACTTATCGAAAAAGTAACAAATCCCTCCACTTTATCTCGTTAAATCTCTCGATTGGTTTCACTTGCCTGTAAAATTTCTCCTCGAAACGTGACGCGGTGTTGTGTCTACAACCTGTGATCTATGGATCAACATCGAATGTGATATACTTACGGTGGAAAGAAAAGAAATGTTCGCCAGTTGGAATACGCGATTGTGATAGTACGCGGAAATATTGGATTCGATTGTTTTTTTTGGTACCTGTGTTATTAGTTACAATGTAGAGATAGAGAGGAATTGAACATATCGACGAGTGTCTTTGTGTGTTTTTTTGTGCCAAGTCGATTTACGATCGATCCGAGGAACAAGGTGTATATGTTTGTGTTTATACCGGTACGATTAATATGCACCAGCGGGAGATACTACGTTCAATGTGCCGGGGAAGATTATTGTGAAAGAGAGAAAGGAACATCTGGCAAAGTAAAGGTGTTAAAGAGCTGGTTACTACAAGAAAATAGTTTGCGCCGGACGTTCTTGAACATGCACTCTAACGCGTATTGTACCGTTTGCTATAACCTGAAAATCCTCCGGAAATAGTGTCGGTTTAACGTGTGCATACGTAGGGAAGAGGACGATAATAATGATTCGTTGAGAAGGAAAGATTATTTCTACCGTTGGAGACAATTTTTCTTTCTCTTCTCTTCTGTTTTTTCTTGCCGTTAATACCAAAGTGCGCACGCATACCGATCTTCGGACTAAGCTCTTTTCGGGCTTAAATGGCGACTATGGGAGTTATCGTATATATACCACGTAGGTAATTTTTTGTTTTACAAATGTATTGTGTCTAGGGTTTATACCGTTTATTTTCTTAACCTGTGTATTTTACTTAACACAGGACTCACTCGATTCGCTTGTTCTGTAGAGACGTGTGTAACTGACAATTAATCGGAATTTTTCATATTCTAATCGTAGCATGTTTATTGACCCTGAGTTGCGATCAAAAGTCCAAAAAAATATGACAAGCCAGCGCGTTCGAGATCGGTCGATTTTGTCGCAACAGAGAGACGAGAGAGAAACATAATACGCACGAGCTTCGGAATTCGTATATATATAGTTAGGTATATAACATGGTTCACAATGTGTAGAAGTACGTCACGTGTTTGATATGCCATCGACCCACATGTACTCTGGATTAACTCTGTGGCCAGTATCGAATCTACCGAGAACTCGAATATAGTGCACGATTTAAGGCGTCACGGGGCATAAATTACGTGTTGTTCGAATAAGAATGGATGTTACATAATAATTCCGGTATTCATTTCTAGATCCGATTGAAAAGTCAATTCAAAAGTCCCCCGGTATCTTATCGCAAAAACTTGAAAAACCGCTGAGTCACGATAATTCGTCGACTCATTGCATCCATTTGTGCTTCCATCTTTTTTCTTTTTCTCTTCTCTCTGCTTCCGCGTGGTTACGTTTAATTAACAGTCGCTTCAATTTGTTACCTTGTTGCACGTTTATGCGTGTTAAACGGCGTTCGAGTAACACGGGAATATATGCGATCAGTCGATTTAAGATGCACTGTAAACATTATGCAGCGAGATCGTGTAATTAAAATCGTGTTACATTCGATCGCGTTTGAACGAAAGGGAAAATAACTTGGAGTGAAAAACTTCCGTTCGTTTCGGGTTTGCAGATCGATTTACTTAAAAGTGCTATTTGTATTATTAGCGATCGACAAGATTAACCGTTTTTTCTCTACTGTTTGGTTTTCGTTATCTTCCGAGTAACGATCGTTGGTTGCGTCGATAAGTTTTTTGAAATTACAGTCGTGATACGTACCTTCTATTGGTAACTTTACACGGTGAAAAATAAGAAGTTGCAATGAAGCGTCGTATTTTTTCCATTCTGAAAATTAGTTGATAAGAACGGACGAAACTTGATCCAAGTCACGTACGATTCCTGCGGCAGCTGAATGTGCCGAATGGTTCTAAGAAAACGTAGATATCTGTGTACCAGTGCATCTTGAACTGTTTTGAAAGCTACATTATCCTTCTCGTTGATTTCTTTTCATGTATAAAACATAGATTCCGAAAGTGATCGTAATTTTTCTTCGAATGTGTATTATTTAGTTTTGTAATAAGTTCTTTCTTCTTTTCTTCTTTCGCAAAAATTGTGTTTAACTTGTACCTGTATGAATTAGCTAATAAAATTTAATATTGGCCCTGTATACGAATATTTATTTCTAAATTGATCGATCTGAACATTAATCATTTCAATCATGGTGTACACACTGGGAAGAATTTTCTTTTACCATGAGAGTGATAAATTTGGCGGTACTGTTTTTTTTTTTCTCTTTCTTTTGCTTATTTAGAAAATAATTCCAGATTAAAATTGCACGTGTAACTAACAATATTTGTTCTTTTTTTTTTTAAACCTGTTGCTGTATATTAATTTTATGCTGAATAATTGATAGATTTCTTGCGTAGCTGATATTAACGTATTGCTAACCGACCGAGTTGCAGTTAGATTGATGTTTAAAGTTGCAAAAAGTATTTGGAAAAGAAATTGGTGAAGAAGTGTCGTAGAAGTTAATAATAATTGGTAAATAATTGAATCGACGTGATTCGTTATATCGAAGAATAAATATGGAATATAATTTCTTAGAATAGTACATGAGAATGAAATATCATTCGTTGTGAATGATACGGTAGAAAATGATATAAGTATCCAATCGGTTGGCAATGTGTTAATAGGCATGGTTAATCAACAAGTATGTCGATCCACGCGACCAACGGACCTTGAGCTTTCCTGTGTCTTGCGGTATGCGTATTTTCGTTCTGCTGGTTAATGAAAATCGTATTATTAAAGTAATCGTTTGATGAAATCTTCTAAGGTATTTAATTATTTTCTATACACCTGCAATTTAGAAAGTTCCTTTTTTTTTTTTTAATATAATTGGAACTGAAGAAAGTATAGAAATATCGTACGTGTTAGTGCAACTTAATTAATAAAATGAATAAAGTCGAAGGATTTTATAGAGTATATATTGTTAATACAAATATTTCATCTCACAAATACATGTTTATGTAAGTGTACGTAATTTAATATCGTTTTATAGTATTACAATGCAGTTCAGATTGATTCTAAGGTGAACTTGCATCTGTAACTTCTAAATAACATTGTATTATGAGCAAGCAGAGAGCGCTGTGTGTGTAAAATCGGTTACTGAAAATATTATGTTTGCAAAAAAGAACCGTTGCAATTGAAAAGCTCGTTTCTTTATGCAGAAAGTGCTAGATTTGTAATTTCGTAGATAATTCTCTTTACGTTTGAACATATATGAACAAAAGTATGGGAATGTTGAGGAGGAATGGAAATTTCTAATTTATATCTTATATTTATTTAAGATGAAAGATATAAATTTCTAATTGAACTCTCTGTAGGTAAACATATTTTTTTTTTTTTTACAAGAGCAAAATTTCTCTTGGGTCATCGACGACCCAGATTGTCTATGGAGGGTTAAGTGAAGTTAATTTTGAAATTTAAGTAAAATTTATGTAAAATTTAGAAGATATGAATTTCTAATTTAAGTAAAATTTAGGTAAAGTTTAAATAAAATTTAAAAGATATAAATTTCTAATTTATATCATCTGTTTAAGAAAAATGCCAATTTCTAATTTACATCTTACATTTATTTAAGCTGCAATTTATATATCTCATTTGATACAGATATTTCATATTTTACATCCATACACTAAAATACAATTTTCACCTTTATATACTTAACTAATTATTAACATTTTCATACAATTTATCCATATCAATATTCCCCTGTGAATTTATCACGACTCTAAAAACAATTTCTTAATTATACGCAATTACAACAATAATCATGTATTGTTTAATGAACTGTTGCAGGCATGTACACCATGCGCATGCTAGATAATAGTAATAATAACACCTCTGGTCCAACGGGAGCAGCAGCTTTGTCAGGAGTTCAAACAACTGGTGGTGCGACCTCTTCGGCAACAGGCGTTACGACACTTCCGGGTGTAACAGACGAAAGGATGGATGCGTCCAGCGATAGTGCTGTCAGCAGCATGGGCAGCGAACGTGTACCATCCCTTTCGGATGGTGAATGGATGGAAACTGGATCTAATTCTAGCCATACCCAAGCTGATTCTCATTATACTATGGATTATGCTAGGTGATTAAACTATATCGAGATATTTCACGAAAATATTATTAGCTGGTTTAACAAACTTATTAATCATTCCTGTATTCTTTCGCACTGCAGTATAATCGCTGAAAAATCAATGTTTTGCAAATTAACAAGTATAAGAATTGTTCAATGAAAGCTATAATTTGCTCTAATATTTCACGAAAGAGAAAGTAAGGAATAAATGTTTTTTAGGAATGAAAGTTTTTTTCTTTAAACTCGTGCTTCGAAATATTTTTCAATATTTTTCGAAATATCCCATTCAGTGGTTTCTCTTTTTTCTTTTATTCTTAGCAAGTATCGCATGACGTACGACTGCAGTTATTCCGTTTCCGGAAGAAACGCTGGTTCTTCAAGATGTCAAGCCGAGCGCACTATGCCTCCAGTCGCCCAGAAAAAGCATCAAATGTTTGCAAAACGCTACTTCCAGGAACAGGGAACTGGTTAGTGTATCAGAAATTAAACGATTAAATATCCCGATATTTTATGCAGTTCAGATTCTGTAGTTTCAAGTTCTACTTCATATATACGATAGGTTCTCCTCTCGGAGCTACAGCACACCCGACAACTCCAATGAAATATGAATACGATTCGCATACAGTCGGTGCTGGTGCACCAGGAAACGCTTATTCAGGTCCGATTGAGGGTGCAGCTGGGCCTCAACTTGAAATGAAATATAGTTGTAGTGTAGATTTCAGTCGTCATCAGTCAGGTAAAAATAACACGTTTCATAATTCTGCATATTAATCTTAAATCTTTCATTTTTTTACTATTTATGAAAATTAACCAAGTATTTTGATTGTTAGAATAATCCTGATATTTCCTATTTTGCATTTCTAGGACGTTCCGCTATAGAACACGTTCATCATAATCACACGTATCATTTACCCGCAGAAAGTTCTGGATCTCTTCAACGTCCAGTTTCTCGCGATAAAAAAGGTAAACAGCAGAGGATCGAGTATATAGGCTGTTTGGTATTTGAAATTAACGTTGTATCTATAACTGTTCGATATTCTTTTTCAGTGCGTAAAAGTGAAAGTGAAGAGCATCTGACTAGAGACGAGAAGAGAGCAAGGGCGTTGAGCGTGCCTATTCCAGTGACCGATATTATTAATCTTCCTATGGACGAGTTTAACGAACGTCTTAGTAAATACGATCTCAGTGAAGCTCAATTATCTTTGATACGTGACATTAGAAGACGAGGAAAGAATAAAGTTGCCGCTCAAAATTGTCGCAAGCGTAAATTAGATCAAATCATTAGCCTTGCCGATGAAGTGAAAGAAATGAGAGATCGCAAAATGAGACTTATTCGCGAACGAGAGTTTATGCTTATCGAAAGGCAACGCGTAAAAGACAAATTTAGTCAACTTTATCGTCATGTATTTCAGGTTCGTATATTTTCTTCATTTTCTTATTGTACACGTTGTTGTACGATTTTTAGATAAGTTAAATCTAGATATTGTTTATTTAAAAAAATGTAACGCGATATAATTTATGAGTGAATTTGAAATTGCGAATTAAAAACAATTTTATGATATTATTTTTAGTCTTTACGGGACCCGGATGGCAATCAATATCATCCATACGAGTACAGTCTTCAACAATCAGCTGATGGTAATGTCTTGTTAGTGCCAAGGAATCAGACGAATCCTCATCATCCACGTTCCACGACGATGGAACCAAAAACAAAAACTGATCCTGAACATAAAGAATGAAATTATGGAAGAATCGCGTTTTAAAACGTTTGATAAGAGAAATTATATTTTCCTTATATATTAAACGCACTGGAAGCGTGGCAAACATGAACGAAGGTGCTGAGAAGGAAAATCATTTGCGGCTTTGAATACACTAATAAAAAGTTTGTATAGAAAGCACGTTGCTTAATATTCAATATCTCAGATCATGTTTGTTTAAATAAACAAAGAAAATTTTTTAAAGATACTTCAGAGACTCACATTGAGTTATGTCCCTTACGACTGGAATATGATCACCAAACGTAGAAACACTGATTGTACATATAGTAATGTAGCGTAAAATAATAAAACGTAAATAGAAAAAAAGTAGGCAACACTTTAAAAATCTACGTTGTATCGAAGCAACAAAATTTTCGTTTATTATTTTAAACACTTATATGGTTATAAGTGCATTGATCTTTCCCGAACAAAAGAACAAAAAAATGATAGTATACAATATTCCAAACGTCACTTTTTTTCTATTAAAATTCAACGGAATGTTATAACGATAGTCCAATTAAAATAATTTCCCTTTAATTCTCATTTGTTATTCTATTTCTTTCGATATGTACAAATTATGCTTTTTTAAAATGCATGTATATGTACATGTATGTTTTTTACGTGTATAAAATTAAACACATTCACCTTTTTAAAAAGAAGTTTAACACTTTTCGGTGCAGTTGTTTCCTCTATGAGTATATATTATGATTTGTTTGATGTGTAGTTGATATAAGTCTACAATTGCGTCGGCATGTAATTATTCAGTAATTATAATGTATGGAATGAAATTACTTGCAAAATTATACGAATCTGCCAAATTTCCTATGTATTTGCACATTCTGATAAAAATGAAAAAAATGCTATCATGAGTATGTTGTACATAACTCAATTCAAGTGAGATAATACATAATTACATAAATAATGTCAGTAAATGAAACATTTTTTTTCCTACTACTTCAATATTCTTGTGACTTTAAAATGCTTATAACTTACAGATGAAGATGTTAGGAATGCCTGATGTAAAATTGAAGCTGCATTTAAATTTCAAATTAATTTAAAGGAACAATTTAAATAGTAAAAGGCAAATGTCACAAACATCGAATACTATATACTGTTCCACGAACTATTTAGCCTTGTGTATAGAAAATTGCTCCAAGATATTAAATTTCAGTCCATTATTAAAATATTACCGATACATTGTAATATACAGTGATAAAAATAACTAGTAAATAATGTGAGTATGTGCATACTTTTAACGTGATGTGTTGTACTCCTACTATATTAATAATAGTATTGATTGAAATATGAACAAAAGTATAACAGATACACATATTTTTATAAAGTAAGGAACAAGCTAAGTTCAGGTATTTCACATTTGCCTTTGTATATATATATGTATATCAATGTAGTTAGAATATATATATAAATACATATATACAGAGTAATAATGAGATATATATTATAATGATAACAACAGACGAAAAGGAAATGCTGTTTATGCAAACAATTTATAATAGTCAAGCCTTTATTAACATTTACATACACAATTGTATTTATATTATTGGGTGTAGGCTGCCTTTACGTACTGTACTTAGCGAGTGGAGACTCACATTGTTAAGAACTATCATAAAAGGAATAATTTATAATTACTCTGTTCGTGAACTGTACAAACGAACCAGGTTTATACAAATCTCTGATTCCATTTGATCACATTTTAAGATCTCCCATGTCATAAAATTTCTATATTGTATAAATAAAGCTGAATAAACCTTTGGGGAAATTACTGTATATATTTTGATATAGTATGTGCAGGATACTTATCCATCCTTATATTATGTAAAAAGAATTTATATAAATATAACGAGGATAAACTTAACTAAAAAAAGGAAAAAAAAATGGTACAAGTTTTGGTATTATTGAAATTTTAAATGTAGTCGAAAATTTCATGATGTTGCAGATCACAGACATTAAGACTAACAAGTAAGTTTTCAAACTCTATAACTAAACTGATAATATTCCATAATTTGGTTTCTTATAGCATATACTTTTAATAGCATTGTATTATTTATTGATAATTGGTTGTTTATACAAATTAGGTTATTTTAAACAATTATATACAGTAGAATAGCTATATTGTAAGTAAAAAAATACTTATTTTATAAGTTATAGTACGCACTTATTTATAGTATCTGACAGCTGACATACATAAGTATTTAGGGAAAATAAATTTTATAAAGTAATTTTTGTAAGATAAGTTATTTACAACTAACTACATAAATGGATATGATTCAAAAAGTTTTCAGAATACTTTAATCATGAGTCTTTATTACGAAATATACAACAGTTTGTATAAATTTTGAGGGACCATTTTTAACTTACGTACTTTTATTATTAAGTATTAATTACTTCCGTACAATAAAAGTTTTAATATGTTTACAACAGGGCCATATTGCAAATTAACAGTTATTAATTCATAATAAAACTATAAATTGCACCCACGTTTTAAGACAATATAACTTTTAAGTATCTACAGCTTAATATTGATTTAATAAAAATATATAGATTAATAAATAAACAATATCTGACAAGATTACATAATACATATTACAGAAGTATAGATTTCTATACGTCATGTACGATTATATAATATCCTGCTCTATACTTTATTTGTAATTTCATAGTTATGTTTAGTTTTAATTACTCGAAATAATTATAATTAATACGAAAATGATAAAGGGGCTCTAGAGACGTGAACAAAAAAGTGCATTAAGTGATAAATCTAGTCTGTATCTAGTTTATGGCCACGAGTAGAATCACGATCTTTTGACAGCAGTTGGACATGCGCATGTGACGAATCATCTACTAATAAACAATTACGTTACTTTTTTATTTGTAATTTCATAGTTACGTTTAATTCAAATTGCAATCACTACTAATGTTGCAATCTTATTTTATGCTGAATCGGTAACGTTGCTAGCGATACGAAAATGGTAAAGGTCTTTCGGATAAAAAGTTCCATAAGATGCAAGGTCTATCCCGTACGTCGTCTGTGCCTATATCTCGACTGTGATATTATCATCTAAGGATTATCGACTATAGAAAATGCAGTATTTCCGTATGTAAAAGACTGTATTACCAGTAACTGATCTAAAAAATGTTTATGATAAAGTAGTTGTAGGTAAACAAATTTTTTCTATGACGAAGTAGAATAATTTTTTTAACGTAGGGAATAAACCATAATAGAGTAGCAAGTGTGAATGACGTAATGTTTTAATACAATCAAAATATTTACGTTTACCTATTTGCTTTTAGTTATTTATACGTATATTTTAAATATTTGTTGCTTATATCAATAATGATGCTCTAAGGCACATAGTAACTATATGCACATACATATAGTACATATATTGTGTACACTTTTGACACTGTAGCACCATTTTGAGTCAAGTATTCTCAATTGCTCCAGATATTACGTAACCGTAACGCTTTGACGTGTATACACGAAAATACTTCGAATAAAACACTTTATAGTTCATTAAATTTCGAATAAACGTGAAAATTTCAAGCTGTCGGTAAACTAAAAATTCTTTTTCCTTCTGTTATTCATAATTGCATCAATCGTTTCGTTATTACCGACGAAGAAAAAGTATTAGAAATATAATTTCGTACAATTTAGTAATCTAACAGTCTTTGTATCGATTTCTTCTCGTTTCAATCGTAGATGAATTTCACGTTAAATTGTCGGTTGGTTGAAATTTCACGTTGAATTAGTGGGTGTAAACTTGGGTTCTACGCTGAATTGTTGTCTATAGGTAGAATACTTCTTTCACAACGACGGTGTTGCACAATTCACAGGATGGGAGGTCTTCTTTATTGAGGTGGTGATGTGTGATTTTTCTGTGTCCTATCCTAATTCTTGAGATGACTGGTCGTGCCTCGCTAAGGTGTATAGTATACATGTGTGAGTGTGTGTTGTATAAATCATCTTTAACGGATAATAAACCCTTATACGGTAATTACATAAATTAATTTCTCGATCTAGAAACGAAACTGACTTACTTATCGCTAGACTGCGGATTTTTAGGTTATTTTATGGAAAATTTGAAAGCACAAAAATACACAGAATGCGCGTAATAAGCAAAAATATATAAATAAACCGAAAATAATACTCGTTACAATATTTAGCGAATAAAACAATTACCAATCTAGCTTCTATTTTTTTACTAATATTTACAAAATTCTGAATTTGCCTAAAAATCTGCAATCTACTTATCAAATGAGCAGAAAAATTTTAGTCCACATTTTATTCGTTATTCACGTTAACTGCAACGGTTCCAACGATATTGCTTCGCGAATCACGCCGGTGGAAAGCGAAATCGTAATACCGATACGTCGAATCGTGATAAAGCAATAAAATTGCCGGTTCGTACGGGGACGGTTGAAGGAAATTGGTAAGTTGGTCACAGAAGGCCACGCGGAGAGGTCAAAACAGAAACGAAAAGGTAATTGCATTATAAAAGCTTTAATACACCCGCGGAATATGAGGCGCGCTTTAATCGAAGATTCTTTATCTCCGGCGCGTAAATCATGCCCGGCCGTCAAATCGGTCCGCGCTGTTCGTGCAACAAACGCAACGCGCTTCCCTAGCAATTACGACAAATTAACCGTGAAATGGCTCGTTAATAAAAACATTATTCTCGCACAACATTGTACCGTGAACGAGTTCACGAGAGTCGTACGTACGCGGAACGATGCAAACTGAGACTTTTCACGTTCGTTTCGATGATTTAACGCGTGAAGTATTCGGTCGATCGTCGAGAGATGCAACTCTCACGGAGAAGTGTTGTAAGTCAAGTTGCACGAGTGTGTGCAAGAGGAGTACATAATAAACGAGTACTTTTTTTTTGCATTTCCTGAGTGAATCATTTTTTCGCGGATTGTCGTAGATTGGTACATAATTAGAACGAATGTGGAGCATTTTTATAGACACTGTGATTTTATTAGAATTTTATAAATATGCTAAATAGGATCAATTTTTTATTTTATTTTTTAATTATTTCCTAGGAGTATAGAAATAAGTTTCCCTTTATTCACAACGTTCTAACTTACTTTCTTTTCTTTGCTGTAACAGAAAGAACAACGCAGTACGGAAACTGAAAGGAAATAATTTCAAAAAGATTGCACTTATTGGACGATTAGTTGTGCACGCGTGACTCACGGTTATATACAAGTTACGCCAGTTACGTTACGATAGGTAGGTTTTCACTGAAAAATCGACTGTGTATTGAAGTTCTAACTCATCCCATACATTCTCCTTGATTTATCTCCAACCGATTTGTTTCACTCTTTTCCGCTCACTTGACAGTTTCCTTGCACAGAAACGATTTAGAGAACAGGAGGATGTTGAAAACGCCTTTCAGCAC